TCGTAATCTCTAGATTAAATGAGAGAGCCCAGTGCCCAGTGATCTATAGTTTTGTGCTTATCCTGTCTTACCTTAAATAATGAGATCCCCTTTTGTGTTTGTAGTTAGAAAGCAAAACTAAGTGGCCATTCTCTGTTATGCCAGGTTATATTAGCACTCCCTTTCCCCTGTATTTCACTGCCTTTTGTAATTCCTTGAAATAAAGCTTTTTCCAATTCTGCAGTTCTTGCTTTGGTAACTTCTATCCCTCACAGCAAAGAAAGTGAGGGGATCAAATGCTCCCGTTCACTCCCTGCAGGAGCTCCGATGGCTATAGTTAAATTTTTTCTATTTTATAAAGTGAGATACAATTTACATATCATAAAATCCACCAGTTTAAAGTATATAATTCAGTGTTTTCTAGTATATTCACAGGGTTGTGCAACCATCACCACTTTCTAATTTCAGAACATTTTCATCACTCCAAAAAGAAACCCAGTAGCCATTAGCAGTCAGTCCCCATTCCCCCTTCTTCTCAGCCCCTGGCAACCACTAATCTACTTTCTGTTGTTATGGATTTGCCTTTTCTGGACATTCATGTAAGTGGAATCATATATTATGTAGCCTTTTGTTTCTGGCTTCTTATAATTGAAATTTCAAGGAACAGCAGAGCTTCTCTATTGGTCAGAACTCCTTCAGTCACAATCGGTAGAGACCACAACTCAAACTACCTTAAGTTGAATGAATGGGTGAAGAATGGTATTCATTGGCTCTTACAGTTAAGAAGTACACAGGTAACTGGTTTCAGCTATAGCTGGCTCCAGGGGGTCCAAGTGTCATCAGGACCCAGTCTTGCTCTCTCTGTTCCTTGGCTCTGTTTTCTTTGGTGTTGGCTGCATTATCAAGTAAGCTCTCCCCTGATAGTGGCAGGATGGGTGCCAGCAGCTCTTGAATCATAGTCTGTCCTCTTCAGCAGCCTTGGCAGAAAGAGACATTCTCTTCCTTAACAGTTAAAAGTCTCAGAATGGAGACACACCGGACCATCTAGGGCCTATGCCCATATGCATAACTAACATAGTGGCTAAAGGAAATGGAATATGCTGTTTGGCCAGGTCAGGCCCATATGCTTATTATCCCTGAACCACTGCATCATCCAGGGGGATCTAATTCCCCTATTATCCAGGCCTGGGTCACATGCCCCACCTTGAAGTCAGCAGTGCAATCAGCCCATCTGACCACATTAGCTAACAAAAGGAAAGGGGGAGGACTGTCTATTGGGTAGGCAAAATCTACAGGTGTGCACTACAGTATCAGTGTTGAAGGGCCATTAGGAATTATCCAGTCCAACCTCTTCAACTTACAGGTGGGAAAACTGAGGTGCAGCAATGCTTTCCTCAGGTCCCCTGGGTTACTAGCAGAGCTGTGTTGTCCGTGTCCTGTCAAAGACCCATTCAAATACTCTCTCTCCAATCCCTAGGCTGGTTATAAGTCAGCAGCAAAGAGAAGCGTATTATTTTGCTTTGTTTTCTTACCCAAATTCCTCCTGGCAGGTCCTCTTCATGCTGTAGGTAGCTTACCCAAAAGTTTATCATGTTTGCCAGACCGTCCAGCCTTTGTGCTAGAACAAAATACCCACATGATCTGCTCTGCACACCTCAAGTGACTATGGAGTCTTTCTAGGGATCTTAATGGTCACAACTCTAAGCATGTGTAGAGAAGGGTGTGTGATGATGAGATTATCAAAAGCACCTTAATTTATTCATAGATTTCTTCTTTCATTCATAAGAGCCCCTACAATAACTCATGCTAGGCTGCTAACAGAAAAGAAATAGTCCTCACACCAAAGAGCACAGATAACTCTCTCTAACTATATTAGAGTTAGGGCAGGAAATGGATCGAGAGTAGTTTTGCAATAAGAAGTTTTTTGCCTTTCAAAGTTAACTTTTCCATTTCACATTGCCCACCCACCTCAAATGCCGTGTGAACCCCTGAAGTCGGTCAGAATCATAGGAATCAACAGACCAGAGTAATCTGCATCCCACCTTCAGCCTAGGCATCACATTCTGTTGTTCAGCAATATTTATTGAATACCTGCTGTGTGATGGATTGGCACTTGGTACAAGGGATATATCAGTGAATACAGGACAGAGCAAATTCCCTGTCCTAAAGGAGCTTACATTGTAGTAGGGCAGAACCTAGCTTCTCTGCTAGGGAAGTGGGCATAGGAGAATTCCCAGGAGCTAGAACCGTTTAATTTGCCTCCTTTGCTCCTTGATATGTAAGACCAAAGGTAATTCTGTTTGGTTCATACACTTTAAGCCAGTCTTTGCAATAATCATCAGTATAGTATTTCCCCTCTAAATGGAACAGGAGTTATTCAGAGAATGGTGGATGAGCCTATGGAGTCTATTATAAGCTGGGATACCTTAATAAAAATAAAATGCAACTATTGCAGAAAAAAAAAAAAAAAACACCTTCTAACAACCCATTCTGGCCTCACTGTGTTTTATGTTATTCACTGTTATTATATAAAGGGATTATGTTTGCTCTCTCCTTTTTAATCCAGCAATGTTAAGGAAGTTTTATGTGAGGTTTTAAAACCCACAGAACACGTACTCGCTTGAGGTGTTCTTCAAATTCGCATCCTTTTATCTCATCACAGAACTGACATAAAGTCCAATGGGATGGTCCTGGTGAGAACTTCCAGTCCTGCTGGGCAAACATCCCCTTCCCATATTTCTGAGCAAATTGCTACCCCTCCAGTAGGGCAACATGGACAAATTCCAACTACAAATAATCAAATCCCATGAAGCAGGACTAAATCCTATAATGCTGAATTCCAGAAACATTTTTGCTGGCCTGTCTTTTCTTATTTTCCCTAAGAGTACCTTTCTATTTACTATTCTATCATCTTCCAAGTAGCAATGCTGGTTGCCAGCTCAAAATTCTTTATGCTACCTCTCATTTGCTAGAATACATTGTCAGGCTTTCTATATTATTTTTACCTCTGACAATGATGTACAAAGCACTGCTGGAAAGCATCCTTTTTGTTAACAGTAGTACTTTCCTAGTGGCTTATACTTCTCCTATATCCTAGCAATGAGTGTCTCATCAGGCAGATTCTGGGGGTTACTTGGAGAGAGAGGATCCTGGCATCTACAATAAGGACATAGTAATAGAGAAAGACTGAGACACTACAAACTTTTTCTGAGTGCCTTCTATGTGACTACTGCTTTCATGTACATTATTTCATGTACAACTGCAGTTTACTCCAGAACAATGAAATGCAGTATTTGTAAACATAATCATCCCCTAGTGTAACATATTTATTCAATGACTGACAACCTTTTCGATCCATTCATTGAGGAAGAATGTGCCAATTGTTCATCAGATTTTAGCATCTGTATCCTCCATGGTGCCTCTTAAAGTAACACAGACAGCTGTGAATCAGGAAGCATGCTGAAGCTTTTTCTATATTATACACATAATCAATGGTAAATTCCATTTAATGCAAGGCTGGCTATAAAAATCAGTGAAGCTTAGCTATTCAAGTAGGGTTTCAACTTAAATTTGGGATTTCCATTTATATAACATCAGCAGCAGTATTAGTGTTGACAGTTTATATTGTAGAACCTACATGTATTCAGACGTGCAGAAATGGTGATAGACAACAGTAAATAAAAGATATGTATATAATAAGCATAAAAGGTAAAATTTACTTTTACAACTGAATTTTCCCTAC